CCCCTCCACTCCCCTCCATCCGCCTCCACCCCGTCCACTCCCTTCCTCTGCCTCCGAGTTACTGGATTCTATGGCTTTTATGTCATTGCTGGGAGGATATGGGTCCGATTCCCTTTATACCCGTAATTGCTTCCTCTCTCTCCTCCACACCCCTCCACACCCCTCCACACCCCTCCACACCCCTCCACACCTCTCCACACCCCTCCACACCCCTCCACACCCCTCCACACCCCTCCACACCTCTCCACATCCCTTCGCTTCCCACTTCCCTCCACTCCTCTTCCTAGCCCCTCTGCACGCGGCCCGGTTGTTGAGAGATCGAAATCGGGTCTTGAACTACGACCTTTCGTCTAGAGTATCGCTCTACTACCGTTACATGAACCTTACCGTAGTTGCTGGTCAGATGCAGCCATCCCCAAATGACCTACCGGTAGGGCGAATACTCCTGAAGGGCATGCTCACACTGGTAGCACTTTCCGAAATGCATCTGACTGCAATTACGACCCGATGTGGACGATTCTGACTGCAATCAGGTGCAGAGCTTTGCAGAAAAAAGTCCTACAGTAGTCTGAGTATGGCCTAAGATTCGATGATCGATACTGTATTTTTCTGTAATCGGCATCGGCCTGAGAGTGATATTTATTACTAGATGATAAATTTTGGCTTGTTTGGTGTGTAAGTCATGTTGGGCTCTTTTTCCCAGGGTTGGGACTGTCAGGGCAGCCGTCTTGTATTGGCCATGTCTGTCTTGGACACTGCACCCCAACGCCTGCACCTAACCTGGGTAATGGTCCCAGTACAGTATGTTTTTACGCGTTGTTTGTGGAGGGATTCCCGGCCTCCCCCTTTTGCTACAATGAAAAGGAAAAGAAAAGGGAAAAAAAATAAATTGCATTATTAGAACTTAAAAGGAAAAAAAGGAAGAAAAGGAAAAAAAAGAAAAAAAAAAAGAAAGAAAAGAGAAAAGAAAAGAGAAAAAAGAATAAAAAAGAAAAAAGAAAAAAGAAAAAAGATATTATTAATGATAATAAAGTTAAGGAAGAAAAGGAAAAAAAAAAAAAAAGAAAGAAAGAAAAGAGAAAAGAAAAGAGAAAAAAGAATAAAAAAGAAAAAAGAAAAAAGAAAAAAGAAAAAAGAAAAAAGAAAAAAAATATTATTAATGATAACAAAGTTGTGGGGGACTGAATTCAGATTGTCAGCGATGTCATCTATGTGATCGATCGATCGATCGGTCGATCGGGACAGCTGTCAGTTGGATGGATGTGTACGGATACCAGACCTATTCTGTCCCGTCTCTGCTAATCGAAAGTCGTCCTTGATTTTTATTTTCTGGCTTTTTTCTCGTTTCTTTCTGGCTTTTTTCTCGTTTCTTTCTGGCTTTTTCTCATTTTTTTTCCTCTCGCTTTTTTTCCCTCGTTTTTTTATCATTTGTTTTTCTCATTTTTCTGTCTTGCTTTTTCCCTCGCCTTTTCCCCTCGCTTTTGTCTCGCTCTTTCGATGTTTTTTTTCTCGCTTTTGCTCGCTTTTTTGTTTTTTTTTTCCACTTTTCTCTCTTTTTTTCCTCGCTTTTCTCGCTCTTTTTCTCGTTTTTTTTTCGCTTTTTTCTCGTTTTTTTCTCGTTTTTTTTCCTCGCTTTTTTCCTCGCTTTTTTCCTCGCTTTTTTCCTCGCTTTTTTCCTCGCTTTGTTTTCCACTTTTTTTTCTCGGCTTTATTTTCGTTTCTTTTTCGTTTTTCTCGTTTTTCCTTGCTTTTTTTCTCTTTTTTATTTTCTTTTTCGTTTTTTCTTCGCTTTTTTGTCGCCTTTTTTGTCGTCTTTTTTGTCGTCTTTTTTTTCGCCTTTTTTTTCGCCTTTTTTTTCGCCTTTTTGTCGCCTTTTTGTCGCCTTTTCTCGCCTTTTCCTCGTCTTTTTCTCGCCTGTTTCTTGCCTGCACGCTCGCAGAACCGGGTAGAGACAAATGGATCTATGGCTCTTGACAAAGTTTGCGGGAAAGTCCTTCGTGATATCCCAACGATACAGAGAAGATGAGCATGGCCCCTGCGCAAGGATATGACACGCATTATTGGAGAAATGGTCCAAATTAAAAAAAAA